AAAATAATTGAATTCGTGTGATAAATATTGTTTATTATGAAAATAATTGAAATTTTTTAATGAATTTTATTAAAATTTTTGAAAATAATTCAATTTTGTCGAAGAGTATTTCTATTTATTTATAAAGATAATTGAGATGTTGACCATTTTTTTTTTGATTTTTTGAAAATAATTAAATTTCGGAGAAGAATTTTATTATTTTCTAAAGATAATTAAAATTTTGACGAGAATTAAAACGGACTTTAACGGACAGCAAAGTTACGGACTTTTTCAGAATTTACTGACCTACTTCGAGCCCTGGGGTTTAAACAATTTTTGCCTTTGGCCATGGTTTGCTAGATTTTGCAAATATTAATTTCTTGTGAATCTCTCTACGACAATAGCGTTAAAAAATATTTTCAATTTTAGGAAAGAATGTATTTTGCAAAAAACCGAATTTCTATTGGAGGATAAAGTAGAGATGTCATCAGTTATTGTTCCGGCCATTGCCCAACAATGGTTTGGCAATTTAGTCACTCCACATTGGTGGTCAGATCTTTGGATAACTTCCGGTTTATCAAAATATTTGGAATATTTTGTGACAGCAAAAGTATTTTTGAAAAAACTTAAAGAAATTAAATTTTTTGAATTAATTTTTATTAATAAATAAGACATTATTAATATAGATACTTAAAAAACTTTAAATTTAGAAAACAATTAAAAAATTTTACTTTTCTTTTTTATTGCATTAACTTTCTGATAACTACTCTTTATAATTATCAGGTGTTAAATATTCCCAGTCTTGTGGATTACTTTTTAATTAAAAGAATTCAAGAAAGTCCTAGTAATCGAGATATAAACAATTTTGATGAATACCTCATGGAAGATGTCACGTTATCCAACAAGCGTTAGTATTCATTTCTTTTTCAATCGTGAAATAAATATTAAACCTTGTTTATTTAATTTATTTAATTTCTTATCTACTATATTTTTTTCTATTAATTTCGAAAATAATTCTTTATGTTTAGCTGCCAAAGTAATGCACATGTTAAGCAGTTTAATTTCCAAAGAAGTTTTTCAAACAGGTGTGAGAAATGTATTGCAAAAATTGTGAGTTGAAAACATTTTTTTTGACCTTCCGTTCACACACTCGGTCATTTTGACCTGGGGGTCGATTGTGTAATTCAATTTTCATTTTCATTTTCATTTTCATTTTCATTTTCATTTTCATTTTCATTTTCATTTTCATTTTCATTTTCATTTTCATTTTCATTTTCATTTTCATTTTCATTTTCATTTCATTTTCATTTTCATTTTATTTTCATTTTCATTTTTCATTTTCATTTCATTTTATTTCATTTTCATTTTCATTTTCATTTTCATTTTCATTTTCATTTTCATTTTCATTTTCATTTTCATTTTCATTTTCATTTTCATTTTCATTTTCATTTTCATTTTCATTTTCATTTTCATTTTCATTTTCATTTTCATTTTCATTTTCATTTTCATTTTCATTTTCATTTTCATTTTCATTTTCATTTTCATTTTCATTTTCATTTTCATTTTCATTTTATTATAGCAAGTGAAAAAATATCTTTCAAAGTGAAAGCGAAAAACAAAGTCAAAATGGAAATGAAATTACAAAATCGACCTCCTATTAAAAATTAATTCAATTTAAATTGAAAGAAAAAATATTTTTTTATTTATTGACTATAAAAGTTTTTTCAATTAAAAAGAATTTTTCCATTTATTCTATTGAAAATTGAGTAATTAAGTAATTTAGTATTTTCAATTAATTAATTTTCATCTGATGAATTAATTTATAGAATTGAATTTAAAGATATTATTTTAATTTAAACTTTTTTTTCAATTTTAAAATAGTTTCATTTTAATTGAATTTTTGGCATTAAATTCATTAAAATTTTTTAAAATAGGTAAACAATAAAATTCTAAATATTTAAATATTTTAAATATTGGACGAAACAATATATTGTGCAATGAGTTTTAAATAATTTTTAGCAAATTTAAAACGATAAAAACTGACGACTTCTGGTGTATTATGCAAGAAACTTTAAACAAATCGAGCTTGGGTAATAAAATTAATATCAAAATGGTGATGGAGCCTTATGTATCACAAACCGGATACCCTGTAATTAACGTATATCGAAATTACACAACTGGAACAATAAAATTGACTCAAGAATGTCCATTGGGTTTAGAAAATATTAATAACAACAGCAATGTGAAAAAATGGTGGATTCCAATTAATTTTGCAACAAGTGAATCATTTAATTTTACTTCAACTTTCGCAACGCATTGGTTAACACCTCACGAAAATGAATTAACTATTGAGGGCATTAGACTTGATAATTTTTTAATTTTTAATAAACAAGTCACTGGTAAGAATTGTAAATTTTACTAAAATCAAAATTCAAATATCTTTTTTAATTTATTTCAGTTAAATATTTCTTGAATATTTAACAATATTCAAGAAAATCTAAAGAATATTGTCATTGAATATTGATAATATCTGACGATATTAAAATTATTGCTTATAACTATTTATTAAGTTTCTTATATTATAATATTTTTCCATATCGTTTTAATATTTTTCCAATATTTGATAATAAAAAATATTCTTTCAGGATATTATCGAGTGAATTACGATAAAATAAGTTGGAATAAAATATCAGATTATCTAAATTCAGAAAAATTTGATAATATCCACTATTTAAATCGTGCAAAACTTTTACAAGATATTAGTTGGTTTTGGTATAATAAAAATATTGACACAGATTTTTTTCTAAAATTCATAACATATTTGAAACATGAAAATAATGTTATTCCTTGGCTTCAACTTCATGACATTCTTCCATTAACGTTTTCTATTGATGTCGACACTTTTCAGGTATTTTCTTAAATTTTTCTACTTTAAAAATAAGTTTTCTCATTTTTCAAATTAAATTTTTTTTTAATTTGAATTTTAAATTTTTCCTTTAATAGTACATAAAGTATAATAAAAGTAATTAAAATATAATAGTCCAATAAAGTAATTCAATATTATAGAGATCTACAAAATTTTAGCGAAACTTTTCGTAAAGTTTTTCACTTACTGAATCCGAATCTGACCGGAGAGATATTTTAACCTAAAAGTGTAAAAATTCAGATTTTGTCCATAATTGATCAGCCATTTTGAATTTTGAAAATCTGACGTCAGATTCGTAATCAGTGACTCCAAAAACTGCCGAGTAGCAAGTTTCAAGCGAATTCGTTGATTTCTTTAAAATTCGTCCGCCATATTAGATTCGCCATTTTGAATTTTGAAAATCTGACGTCAGATTCGTAATCAGCTACTAAAAAAACCGGCGAGTAACATGTTTCAAGCGAATCCCTTGAGTTCTTTAAAATTCGGCCGCCATATTGGATCCGCCATTTTGATTTTTGTAATTTTGAGTTCGAATACGTATTACTAAGTCGATATAGAAAATCTAAAATACCACATCAGATGCCTTTAGAAAAGAATTGTCCGGTTCTAAGATTCGCCAAAGTATTGTCTACCTTTCTTATTTTTAATATTTTTATTTCAAATATTGTTATAATAATTATATTTACAAATGGTATTAAAAACTAAATTACGTAATTAATATTTTATTATCGCTTGTAGAAATTGGCGACACTTCTATTTAATTCTGTTCTCGATGGAAATCTGTTTGACAACGAAAAAAATGATGAATACTTAGTGAAGAAATTGATGCTTATGGCAAAAACTTGGCAAGAGAATCGCAAATTTTTTGTTTCTCCGAAGAATAATTAATTTTTGTGTATTGTAGTAAATTTTTATTTCTTGTTGGTTTTAAAATAAACGAAATTTTTATTAATTTTTTAAAATTTTTATTACTAGTATTATTACAAGTACCTATACTTATTTATCCGATCATACCTCTTCTAAATGAAAATAAGTAGGGGACACACTCCCCTATTAAATAGTTTTTTATTTATTAACAATAAAATAAGTTTTTGGTTTTAAATTGTTTATCGATAGCCAATTTCATTTCGACCATGGTTGGATAAAGCATGAGAATTCTATACTATAGATTTAGTAAACAAAAATACTTTTTTTATATTTAAGTACCTACCCCTTTAAGATTTGCAGGAAAAATACAATCTGTAAGAGGGTGTCATTTGTATATTAATTAGAAAATTAAACTCATGACCAAGTCTTTCGCCTTACATGTCACATTGTTTACATTTCAGTCTATTTACTCTGTAATTACCTCCAACTGCGTGAAACTAAAATTTACCTTCATTTAGTCATCTCAAGTCGCTTGTAAAAGAAAGATATAATTTAATATTTAAAATTTTGTAAGGTAATTTTATTTCAAAATTTAGTGCACTTTATTAGTTCAAATGTATATGTAGTTTTTCCATGTAGTTTTATAGTATTTGATAAGTGTAACTCTTTTTTGATCATGCAGAGGATGAATGCCCTAAGCATTCAATTTTTTGCTAAGTTGAAGCAGGAATTATCAATTCCTCTGCAATAATTTTTCCTTTTACATTAAAAAGATTATGTAACTTGAAGATACAAGAAATGTGCTAATGAAACGAACTATTTTTCTCATTGAACATATAAATTATTGTTTTTTAAAACTAGTTCCACTACAAGAGACGACAAAAATAAATTATAATAGTGATTGTAAGCAAAATTTATCAATTTTTTGAATGCATGAAAGTCTAGAGTTGGCTACCTAAAATTACCACGTGTGATTCTTGTGTAACAATAATTTTTTAATCGTATTTACCAAGAAGGGGTTAATGTAACTGACATAAGGAAAAATACCAAAAATTTGTTATAACAGTTGCTGTTCTTTAACTTCTATCAAATAATGATATACGGGTCATTTCATTTAAATTGTCATAATCGTGTCCTTCGGCAATAAAAACTTTTTGTTATAGTTTTTGATAAAATTTATTTTCCAATGTCGTGAATGCAATCTTTTTTAATATTTTTTCAACTTACAAACATGTAAAAATGTTATGTATAATAATGTCAGAACGAAACGCAGGCAAAATGTCATAAGTGTCCCATATGTTCAGGAGTGAATTATTAGTTTTCAAGTGAACGTATTTTCGCTATATTAATTTATCACAAGTAAACCAAAATTTTACAGTGAACTATAACTTACATATTTAAGGAAAATTAACTGCTGATAACTTTATTTAATTGTTTGACCTTTCTAAAAAAATAAGAATAACGTGTCCCTCACTTTTACATTATTTTACTTTGAATGCAAAATTTTGTATTTATGCGTGTTTAAAGATTTATCCAGTGAGCAAAAAAGCTGTTTTACTGACGAATCCGCAGCAGAAGATAACGACGAATCAACTTCAAAAAAATTGAATGTCGTGTTTCCAAATGTGAAAGTTTTACGTTGTGGCAGAAAAGAAAAGATTTTATTGTAATTAGAAAACTGTAATGAGTGTCCTGTCTTAAAATTGGTAAATTAATATTTTATATTCAATATCAAAATGAAATTAATAATAGTTTTGGATTCTCTTTCGAATGAGACCAGAATTGTCGATATAAATATAACATGTTCATAGATATAAGCAAAAACGATCAAAATGTCATGAGTGTCCCACAAAGTAACGAGTTTCAACTGAATTCTATGAGTTTTACAAAATTCGTTCGTCATGTTGGATTCGCCATTTTGAATTTTTGAAATTCGACTTCAGTTTCATAATCAGTTACCCCAAGAAACCGCCGAGTAACAAGTTTTATGTTAATTTCATAAGAATTAAAATTTTTTTTGTTTATGTATGAATGTCCCTAAAGTTTAGTTTAGATTCTTGCTTTGCATAAAAATAAAAATGCACACAAACATGTATAAAAAATTTCCACCACATAAACTTTGTTGAAGAATCAATGTAAACAATTTAATTGAAATGGGTTGAATATATTTTTTTCCAACGAATGTAATGAGTGTTGTATTATGTCATGAGTGTCCTAAACCTTTAGCCCAAGTTTCACCTTCGAACAATTTTAAAATGATAAATAAATAGGCATAAAACTATTTTTCCAAACTTTACCAATGCATTAACTGTTAGAACAGAGTCATAAAATAATATATTTAATAGCAAATTTTTATTTTCTTGGCGATATGAAAATGTCATTTTTTTATTTTAACTCACTTTTCTCTGTATTTTGCTTAATTTAAAAAAATTTTTCTTTATCAAACGTGACCTTATTTCTGACGAAAAGCGTCTTTTATGTGAAATATATCACTTTAATTGCGCGACCACTATGAATTTCGTTAATGTAATATATATAACGGTTTAAAAAATTTGGTTTAAATTACAGAATCAGAACTTGCTACTTCAACTTTTGTTGAGGCTGAAAATGACAATTTAAATGAAATGAACCATAATATGTACATAAATTATATTTCCTGATGATAATAATTGGTTACATTACGTTAAATATTTAATTGATAATAAACCAACTATATAAATAGTTTGCAGATGTAAAAAGAAGCCCTGTTGATTTAAATAATATTTTATTTAAACAAAACCTCGATATATATCTACATTTGACATTGGGTGTAAGCAGTTCCTATTAATCATTTTAAGAGTTCATTTAATTAGTGTAACAAAAAGTATCCATTTCTGCTTTACGTTATATTTATTATTTTTTCTTTTAATTAATCTTTTAATTCTACTTAAATAACTTTACTGTAATTCAAAGTATTTGGTTCTATTTATTAAGAGGTAATTAAACTGACACATTTATAATTTTTTTTGCCAACATTACGCTTAGAAATTTAATTTGTTCACTTTTTGCAGAATATCATTAATAACAAAGCTCTAGTGATAATTCAAAAATGAGATACATTTACTTCATCGTTTTATTGTGTATCTTTATCCAATTTACACAACAGTTGAAAAACTATCGACTACCAAATGTTACCATACCACTGAATTATAAATTAAAATTTGAACCACACCTGTCTCCGAATAATTTCACATTTCACGGCGAAGCAGAAATTCTCATTGTACTTTTATCTAATACAAACAATATAACATTACATTCAGTGGATTTGACGATATTTGAAAATGAAACACTTCTCACTGGGGCAGAAAACACTTTTACACCAACTGAACATATTTATGAAAAAGAGAGCGAATTTCTGATTTTGAAGTTTATCGGTGATTTAAAACCAGGAATTTTCAAAATAAATTTCAAATTTCTTGGTGAATTGAGAGCTAATTTTTTGGGATTTTTTTGGGACTCTTATCACGATGAAAATGGCGATACTAAGTAAGTTTTAAATCTACAGATACTTCATTAATGTTTGGAACTAATGTGTCCTTAACAACTCCATTTTTAGATATTTGGCAGCAACTCAGTTTGAGGCAAATTACGCTCGCATGGCTTTCCCCTGTTGGGATGAACCCGCTCTAAAAGCGAGCTTTGATATTTCAATTAAACATTTCTCAAATTATACAGCTCTCTCGAATATGCCGATAAAAACAATGATTTCTAATACCACTGATGATAAAATTTGGACAGTGTTCAAGCAAACTCCTCTTATGTCAACATATCTAGTTAGTTTTGCAGTTGTGGATTTTAGCAGTATTACCAAAACTGGGGGTAACATTACAATTTGGTCTCGGGCTAGTAACATTGACTCAATGAACCTTGGATTAAATGTTGCGTCACAAGCTTTGACCATTTTAGAAGAATTCACTGATATGCGTTATCAATTACCGAAAATGGATATTTTGGCTGTTCCAAATTATCCGCATGGAGCAATGGAAAATTGGGGACTGATTGTAATTAAGTAAGATTTTTACTATTTTCTTTTGATATACTTTGTAAAACTCATGCTTTTTTCTGGGAATACTGCGAAAGTCTCCTGAAATAGCACTTAATGTTTCTTGAATATTTGTGATTCCCCGAATGAACTATATAAACGGAGAATGCAGTAGATTTCCCTCAAATTATTTTCAAGACAGCCATAGTGAAAGGCTTGGAGTCCAGGTGTCGATGCAAATTAGATAAAACACCCCTCAGCCTAGAAGTGACCGAATTATTATTGATTTAACGTTGAAGTCAAAATAAATGCAGTCCTTAGAAAAATAGAAATGTGCCTCGCAGTAAAAATTATCTTCTTGAATGAAGTTGACTAAGATGCATTTTAGCGTCAAAGCTAGTCCGATTTGAATTCGAAATTAAAATTAATTTGACGTAGAAGTAAATTCCAATTCAAAATTTTCCTAAATGCAGTAATATTTCAAGGACTTTGCATTAAAATATTTCAAATCTTTCAGTGACATATTCATAAAATAGTTTATTCTCTGTAGGTCATTTAATTGATAATAATTGTTTAATTTTTACAGTGAGATGTGCATTTTAAACAATAAGAACTCTTCAGCAGTTCAAAAATTAAAACTTCACCAATATATGGTTCATGAATATGCTCATCAATGGTTTGGGAATTTAATTACTCCGGCTTGGTGGAATGATATATGGATAACAGAAGGACTTTCTACTTATCTTGATTATTTTCTGTCAGACAAGGTTTAAATTTGTTTTCGTCAAATATAAATTACAGATTAAATTTTTACAGCTACATAAAATTTAAAAATCTTATAATTTTTTTTACAAATTTGTCGAAAAAAAATAAAAATCACATCTTTCTTTTTTGAAGATCTATAATTTTCCAAGAATGATGGATCTCTTCGCTAAACATGTCGTTGGAGTAATTGGAAGAGAAGACTATTTTTCTAATAAATTGTTTCGAAATGTGACATCATCAACTGAAGCATTAAATCTTTTACGTGTAGTTCATGAAAAGGGTTAGTTTTCAATATGTTCATACTTTAATGTAATGAAAACAATTTTATTTTATTATCTTTAATATCGTTATTTCAAATTAATACCTAACAATAGAAAAAAATTACATTATATTTTTACATTTAAGCTGCAACAATTATGCATATGTTAAGTAATTTAATGTCGAAGGAAGCTTTCCAAAATGGAGTTAGAAAAATTTTGAAAAAATAGTAAGTTTAATCTTAATGAAGAAGATAATATCTATTTATTTTTTAAATAAGTGAAAAATAATAATTTCACTAAAATTTATCAACAACTAGTAATTATACAGAATATAACAAATTTTTAGTAAATTGGAAACAATAAATACTGCCAACTTTTTACAAACAATGCAAGAATCCCTGGATGAAGGGAAAATAGTGAATAAGTATTTTAAAATAGAAGAAGTAATTATGTCTTACATATCGCAAGTAGGATATCCTGTGATAGTTATGTCGAGAAATTACACAACGGGAACAATAACATTGACTCAGGAGTGTACAGTTTGTCCAAGGAATAAACCACAATCAAAATTCTTCATTCCAATTAATTTTGTGACAAGTTCGTCTTTGAATTTTTCCTCAACATTAGCGACTCATTGGTTGAAACCAGACGATAAGGAATTAATTATAGAAGGAATTCATCCCGATGATTGGATTATTTTTAATATTAAAAATACTGGTAAACATCAAGACTTTACTTTATACTTTTTTTTACTTAGTATACACTTAAATGTTAAAATTAGTTTTAAATTAAAATCTTCTTTACATATTATACAAATTAAATAATTGAATCATTAAAATAATTTCCTAAGATTTAAAAATTCTTTTTACAGCCTATTATCGTGTGATTTATGATAATGAAAATTGGGAGCGTTTAAAGAATTATTTGCATTCGGATGATTTTGTACGAATTCATGCTTTAAATCGAGCTCAATTATTGGAGAACGCATTTTGGCTTTATAAACAAAGAAAAGTTGACAAGGAATTTTTCCTTACTTTCACATTGTACATGACTCGTGAAGTTGACTATGTTCCATGGGCTGTTTGTGATAACATTTTAACTTATTTAAATAACAACGATTTTACACTTACTATGAAGGTACAAGTTTTATTGAGTAAAATAAAATTAAAATTGATTTGCAATTTTTTTTTCATTTTTTACTGGTATGAAAAAAATTTCTTTGGATAACATAAAGGAGAATGTTAATTATTATGTTGCTTAATAACTATTATTTATTTTAGAATTACATCTTAAATCTTGTGAAGCCTCTTATAGAACATTTGGAAGTCAAACCAAAAGAAAATGAAGATATTTTTACATCGGAAAAAAGATATTTTGCCATGTATTGGAATTCTAAATTTGACACAAAACGTAGGATGAACAGGAATTATGAGAGGGCTAAAAGGGACTTAATACCTGAGCATCATGTTTTCACATCTACTGTTAATTATTTTGATTAGGGTGTCTCAACTAATATTAAACATTGACGAAATCACAAAACCTTCCACTTTTTATTTTTTAACATAGTATGCATAGTATGAGAAGAAGAAAGAAAAGTTTTTTAATACTTTTAAAGTTTATTGTCAAAATTTTAAACTTTGGGTAAAGTATGACAAAACTTTTGACTCCAGACAAAATTTTGACTTTTACCCTGACACTAAAGAATATTCTGATTCATTCTAAAAATCATTACAAATTCAAAAAAATGTTCTATTACATTTACTTACGCATTTTCTTAATTGTAAAATTATTAGAAACATCAATAAATTATTTTTTAAACAAATATTTAATTATTATTATTATTATTCCATAGGAATTAAGATTTTCAAAAAATTTCAAATTCAAACCTTTATAAAATTCAACAACCTAATAAGAATATTATTATATAAAACATGAAGATATCGATGAGTTATTAATGTCTTCATGTTTTATAATAATTAAAATATCCATAAAATTTATTAAAAAAAATTAAATTATTATTTACAAAATTTTTAATAAAATCCTTAGCAATTATTCCATTATTTTTACAAGTAATAAAATTTTTCACATAAGTTTTATTATTTTTAAAAAATGTAATAAAATTCGTTGTAAGTATTCAATTATTTTAATAAATAATAAAAAATTTCATAGAATTTCAATTATCTTTAACCCCTTGGCTGTCAACGAGATTTTCACTGTTTGGGCCAAAAGTGTGTTGAAAAAATTTTTAATGGATTTTTATGAAACTTGGTACCCTAAGGTTTCTGGGGTCGCTGATTACGAATCTGACATCAGATTTTCGAAATTCAAAATGGCAGATCCAAGATGGCGGAAATTTTTTTAAAATTCGTCGAATTTGCTTGAAACTTGTTACTCGGGGGTTTCAAGGGTCGCTGATTACGAATCTAACATTAGTTTTCCAAAATTCAAAATGGCGGATCCAATATGGCGGACAACGAAATAAAAAATTGATCAGATTGTCTTGAAACTGAATACTTGGAGATTTTTAGGGTCGCTGATTACGAATCTGAAATCAATTTTTCGAAATTCAAAATATCTGGTTCAATATGGCGGAAATTTTTTAAAAATTTATTGAATTTGTTTGAAACTGGTTAATCTGACATCAGTATGATAATTTTTGGTGAAATCAAATTTCGATAAATACCCTGAAAAAATAATGACAGATTCGTAGTCAGCGACCCTAAAAACCCCCGAGTATTCAGTTTCAAGACATTATAATTAATTTTTTATTTTGTCGTCCGCCATATTGGATCCGCCATTTTGAATTTTGGAAAACTAATGTTAGATTCGTAATCAGCGACCCTTAAAACCCCCGAGTAACAAGTTTCAAGCAAATTCGACCAATTTTGGAAAAATTCCGCCATCTTGGATCCGCCATTTTGAATTTCGAAAAACTGATGTCAGATTCGTAATCAGCGACCCCAAAAACCCACGAGTACTACGTTTCAAGTCAATTTGATCAATTTTTTATTTTGTTGTCCGCCATATTGGATCCGCCATTTTGAATTTTGGAAAACGAATGTCATATTCGTAATCAGCGACCTCGAAAATCCCCGAGTAACCGGAGTAGATAAGCAGTGCCGGTTCTATATACAGATCCCTGCACCGACATGTTACCGACACTTTTAGCCCAGACTCAAACCATTTATCCAAGACTCAAACCCTTGGGTGGGGGTAAGATCTTGATGATTAGGCGGAAATGACGTCATACACATTCCTGCACCGACACTTTTAGCCCAGACTCAAACCATTTGGGGGAGGGTGCGATTCAGAGGCGGATATGACATCACGGGGGAGGGTGTGATTCAGACCATGATGCTGAGATGGATATGACGTCACACTTCCTAGAATTTTTGCTTGTGTAATTTGATATATTCTTATCTAAGGAATTTTTACCATTTACTTGTTGTTTATAATGTCTTTGATTTATTGCTTCCGGTTTGGGATTTATCTAAGGAATTTTCCCCACGTGTAATTTGATGCCTATTTATTTTTTGGAATTATAGTCTTTATTTAAGCTATTGTTTTACATGTAATTTGATATCTTGTTTATTAGATTCTTATCTAAGGAATTCTTCCCATGTACTTGTTGTTTATAATATCTTTGATTTATTGCTTCCGGTCAACATTTTTAGTACTTTTCATAAGAATGCTTTTGATCTTACCGCAATTCTAAGAAAACTATAATTAACTTCAAGGTTAAATAGGTCATATCTTGTGTATATAAAGAGAGCAATTTTTCTAAACGAAATCATTCCTGCAGTTTAAGTTGGCTGATGAACATATTATTAGCAAAGCATAGTGAAATTCAAGTGCGATTAAACAAATTAATACAAGAAATTGATAAAGTTAAAAGTTTAATTGAAGAAAGGTCACAGTTAAATATTTTAGTGAAAAAATTTGAAAATTTAAATTTAAGTGATAAAAATGAATTTCGATAAATTAAACAAGGCAAGCAAAGTCTTTGTCACCAAGACAACAAAGGAATTAACCATCGATGCATTCTATAAAGTAACAGACATTCGAAAAATTGATACGAAATTTGGTCCGAAAATTGTTGCTGAAATAAGTAATGAATTTAACATTTTCCTACCACCAAGAATGCTAAAAATATTTGAAGAGGATGCAAATCTTTTCAACAGTCTGAAAGCAGAAGCTGTAAGAGGTGGTGTATATTTGAGAAATCGTGGAGGACCTTACAATCAAATAGAGTTTGTTCCTGAGGGAGTTGACCAGTAGAAGACAAAAAAATGTCATATTTACCATGTGGAGAAATGTTATTATCTAAAATTTACAACTTAAATCCATCATTTACTAAGCAAGTTGTCGTTGGAGCAGAACTGGACACAAATGGGAAAATAATACCAAAAATTCAACTAAGAAGCAGCCATCCACGAGTATCATTGTCTTTGAAGCTTCAAGAATGGCGTCTATTGTGTGATGCAGTAAAACATATCATACGATTTTTCAACGGATATTGTGATGCAACAGTGCTGGATTGTGAAACGTTTACAATACGTTTTAGTGTTACATATCGTTTAATATCAATTGAGCGTTTAGATCAATCATTTACATTTAGTGAAACTTCATTTGCAATATTTAATGAAGTTATTCCTTGTGTTGAACAAAAATATGTAGAACTATCAAAATTCAATTTGCAGTATAGTAAAGATATAATTGTAAAGTTTATTGCAGAATTAATCTTTAAAAATAATGTAAAGTCTACAAAACATGCCACAGAGTTTATTAAAAAACATTACAGTAGAATACTTCAAAAAATGATGGGAAGAACTAATGTTTTAAATTTAGAGACATTATTGCTGGAACTTGTTACATTTCACTGTAAACAAATATCAAATGAAGCTATTCAACAAATGTCAAATATTCAATGTATAAATGGTAAATTATTGTAAAGAGAGGATAAATAAATACAAGAATGCATACAATTCAATTTATTTTTATTTTAACCTTCCTTAAATATATTATAATTCAGATTCGTTTATCCAACTGTTATGAGAGTTATCAAAACCTAACCATTTTACAAATACATTAGATCCTCGTTTTTTTAATACTTTTTCAACTAAATATACATCTGGATATTTAACTTTAGAAAGTTCTTGCTCGTAAAAACATCCACTTATTAGATTTTCCTGATAATCCTTCAAGATATATGTTATTGGATTAGTATTTTTTACATCGCTTATAGTAAATATTTCTGTAGTCCAATTTGGTGTATAACCTTTCTCAAAAACATGCTTAACTTTACTTATACGTACTTTATCTCCAACTTTAAATTTCTTATTATATTTCCTGTTTACTGCAACTTTTTTAAATACATCAAACAACAAATTATTTTAATTTTCAGCATTTACATCTATTGGTTTCATTTTTATTGTTCGATGTTTACTATTATTATACGCATTTACTAAATCACTTAGTATGTCTATCCATTTGTAATTACCGCGTAAACTAAATTGCATCCACATTTTATTCTTCAAAGTACGATTAAATCGCTCACAAATTGACGCTTTCAAATTACTATGAGTAGAATACAAATTAATGTTATAATTTTTAATAAGATTTTCAAAATGTGAATTATAAAATTCTTTTCCTTTATCTACTTGCAAATTTTTCGGTATGCGTTTTTTAATTAAAATAGATTTCATTGCCGCAGTCACATCTTCACCTTTTTTGGACTTTACTGGAACAGCCCAGGCAAACTTTGAAAATGTATCAATGACAGTTAACAGGTACTTGTAACCTTTATTTTCTCTCGCATAAGGTTGCATTTCAACAAGATCAGCTTGCCAAGTCTCGTCAAAACCTCGAATGTCAACATTTCTTCGCTTATAATTTTTTCTCGCTGGTTTATGTAACTCTTTCACCAACTGTAGTTTTTGATCCTCCATTGCTAATTACCTTCAAGTGTGCGCAGTCTGCTGTCTAATTGTAAAATAATGTCTTTGTTGGTAGACATCATCTCTATATTTCTTTCAATACTGATTCTTAGATTTTCAAAATATTTTTTTATCAAATCTTCTAAATCTAAAATCTTTACTACATTGTCATTTACATCATTTCTCACGGAACCGATTACATCATAGATGGCGTTCGCTTTAGATTCAATAACTTTGTTTACAATATTCAAGTTTACTGCATCACCGTTGCTCTCGGCATCAGCTACGTTACAAAGTTTCTTATTTTTAATAGTAAAATCTCCTTCAGCAGTCAACTTAAAACCAAGTCCTGGTGGACCTCGATTTGAAGTTTCTGTGCTTTTAAACTGACGTCCGAATATGTCGATACTCATAATGAAAATGATAAAAATTTCTACAACTGTTAATTAATAAACAATTCCAGCTTCTCTCAACTCTTCAATAATTGATATAATCTCATTATTATGACTGGGATTTTCAGCTGCTTGAGATGCCAAGAGCAATCTTAAACGATCAACCAATTCATTAGGATCATCCCAATAAACATAATCAATTTTTGCATCTTCTTGTTGAGTCATATATTCTGGAATTAAACCTTCACCAGAATGTACTGCTATATAGTTTAGATATTTTAAACTCTTTTTATCTCTAACAGCGCCATCTGCTTTGTAATATTTTCTATGAGCATTAGTTGATATTACAATATTTTTATAATTTTCCCGATCAACTACACTTAAAACAGCTTCTTCTGGAACTTTTTTGAATAAAAGCTCAAGTAAACCTTTCGTTGCAGGATATGTTTT